TGACCGGTAGTTTTTCATAATCATGTTTCAATGGTGATTGACTAGGATCGAGTATTTTTTGTAAAATCCAATAATAAAAATAAGAGAAATTTTTTTATTAATTTGCAGATTTTATAGATAAATTAGAGTGACGACGAGTAGCGACCACCACCATTTTTTATGATAAATACTTACCCACTGACTCTTTCGAATGTTTGATTTCTTCTTTGCTCTGATTTTATATCTCGTGGCATTTTTTTATTTTTTATTTTTTAAAAAAAAAAAAATTTCAAACATGACATGTAAACATTATTATTATTGGCATTTGGTGTTGTACAGATTTTTTTTGTTGACGCGATTTAATGAAAAAATCAATCTATTTTCAATGACAAAATGTGAATGATGGATGTTGTTTGGTATGGCTTGGGTCTGAAGACGTGTTAATGACAGAGGTACTATTTTTTATTTGTAGTCTTTTTTGTTATAAATACTCTAATTGAAATCAAAACGCGGAGCAGGACTTGCTGGGTAATTATAAGATCCTTGATGGTAACAAATGAATGATTGGTATTTTGCTTTGCGTAATCATAATTAATATTAATATATAAATAAAGGCAGCACACCATTGAAAAAGAAACGGTTTAAATATGAGATGTTTGATTTGGCACATAAAGTTACTCCTGATGAATATGAGGTTACTCCTGGTGAATATGAAAACTATAAAATAGAACTTGCTAATTACATAGACTACATACGAGAGAAGTATTCTATAGTTCATAATCCAAAACGAAGTGCTTTTAAAGAACATGAACCAATTGGTAGAGCTGTTAATGGACTACAAACATTTTGGTCTTTAAAAGGAATATATCAATTGAATATGAACTGTGAAAAAATCATCAAAAGATTTAAAATTGAGTACAAAAAATATTTGGAAGCTTCACGTAAATGGAAATTAGAATTGGCGCATAAAGAATATTTTGAAGAATCTCAAAGAAATAAACAAAAATTCAAAGAAAGGAGACACACTCTGGATGATTTTAAGACAGCCACAAACAAATCAATGGATAAATCCAAATTGGATAAAAATATGCAACTCTTTAGGCAATTTGATTGGTCCAAATGTGATGTGGATTTTAAGGCATTACCAATATTACATTACAAAAAATACAAAGAAAAAGAAGATCAAATCTTTTTTGATGATAATAAAAGGCAAATCGCTTTAAATAGGAACAATTTCATCTCTGAACGTCTCCAAAAAAAATTACTATCACAAAAAAAAAAAACCTAAAAAATTAATTCAAAAATCAAATCAAAAAATTTAACATGTTTATTTTTTTTATAATAAAATAATAATGACAATTTGCTAGTATATAAATGCAATTCATCTGATCCTACATAATTAAAAATACATTATTTATTACCTTCACTTTCCTACATAAATATTTGATAACAATAGTATGTATGATATTATTAAAGCTTATATTTAAGAATAGGGTAGGATTAGACCTAAAAAGGCTATTAAGGACCCCAAATTTTGAAAAGACTGGTCCTTAAAAAAGGTAATAGTGTAACATATTAATATGCTATTTAAAAAATTCATGAATAATAAAGAATCCCTCCTTTATTAATTATGAATTTTTTGATACTACGATTTGCAAATTGTTTGTAGACAAGTTAAACAACAACAATAATAATGTAATAAATGTGGATGATTCAATTTCCAATATTTTTGAAAGCTTAGAATCATCATCAACCGATGATTTTATTTCTAACAATAATATAAATCGTGTATCTTTTTTAATATTTATTGAATGCGTATAAATGCAGATTTATCCATAAAAAGATTTTTTAACTATAGTGCAGGTCACTTAGTCGCTGAACTTTTTGTGCTACACCGCCATTTTTTGAGAAAAAAATTTCCAATCAAAAATGCAATAAAA